TTTGAGCAGCATTTCTTAGACCGAAAGGCATTCGCAAAAATTCATAGAGTCCGAAGGGAGTAATGATGGCGGTTTTCGGTATGTCGTCAGTGGCCATGGGAATTCGGTTATACGCTTTAACCAAGTCGATTTTCGAAAAGACAGTTGTACCTTTCAAAGTAGCTTTCAAATCGTGAATGTGAGACAACGGGTAACGATCGGGAATGGTTTTCGCGTTCAATCGCCGATAGTCACCAGTTGGACGCCAATCGTTGCTGTCCTTTTTAGGGACCATGTTCAACGGAGATGCATATGGGCTACTTGACGGTCGTATGATCCCTAAGTCTATCATGTGATCGAATCCGTTTTTCGCTAACCTTAGCTTTTCAGGAGCTAGTCGTCGTGCTTTAGAGAATACAGGTGGTCCTGTAGTCGTGATGTGATGTGTAACATTGCTGGTTATACACGGTAGTTTCGGTTGAGTTTGTTGTATCCCAGGGTACTTATCGAGTAGCGGTTGATAAAGTGGGTCTATCATATGTTTAACTGTGACTGGGGATACTCTGCAACCAGTTAAAGAAGTTACTCAAATGGATAAATTAGTGTGTCCGTCTACTAGCCTCCGTTTGCACGTATCGATGATCAGATTATGGTGTTGTAGAAGGTCCATACCAATGATTGGCATAGAAACATCTGCAACAACGAAGATCCAGTGAATGCGTTTGCGTAAACCCACGTTAAGGTAGACGTACCTTTTGCCATACGTAGCGATCGGTTTTCCGTTTGCCGCCTGTAAGTTTAAAGCCGAGTCGTGAAGTCGGTCGTCAGAATTCGCTGGGAGAACGCTAACTTCTGCGCCAGTGTCGACGAGGTAGCGAACTCTCGTTGTCACATCTGTGACATATAACAGACGGCTATGTTCGCCGGCTACGGTTGCCGTTAACGCGTGCCGGCTTGGAAGTTCTCCGAGTTGTTTTTCGAGTCAGTCAGTTTTGGGTTGGGAAAATTTCAGGGATTTCGGCAATTTCTGGAAGACTTCCCATACTGGTTATGATACCAGCACCAGTCGGGATTATCCGTCTCTCGTGGTCTATAGACAGATCGCTTACGTGAAGTGCTTCTACATGGGGTGTGTGATCGCTTACGGTCGTTACGAAAATTAAGATAACGCGTAAGTGTATGACATAACTCTGTTATGTCATTCTGAGTCGTGTGAGGTTTTTCTTTGACTGAAAAAACCTCGGTAGTAGAAGATTTCGTAATTTCTAAGATACGATCGGCAGATGCAGCCAGCTTGTCCAAGGCGTTGTTCTGAAACGAGACCAGAACTGCTTGCACCTGTTGGGGAAGTTTAGACAAGAAAAGTTGCTTGAATAGGCCTTCGTCGAAAGTTGTTAGGCCTATAACCTCTCTCATCCTTTGCAACATGTCCGTCGCAGGACTGTGTTGCGTGTCTATGTTATTAAAGAGTTGGTCTAAACTTAGTCGGTCGGTTAGGTCTCCTCGTTTAAGAATCGAACGCTTTAAGGTTTCGTACGGTTCAGAAACATCACTAGTAAACATACTAGGTGTTACGTACCTGTTGAATTCCCGCGGTAGTGCCTTGACTACTGCGAGGAACTGTGCATGTGTGTCGTTCACGCCGTGCTCGTGGAAGTCGGCTTCTGCGTAGCAGAACCAGGCTTCGATGTTGTCGGGCCAGAAGGGCATGAGTTCAAACGAGGGTAGGGATATGGTCTTAATCTTAAATACCTTGGGGGTCTGTTCAGTCTTAGGGGAAAATTAAGTACGAGAATACACGAGTGAAAAGTATATAGATATCCTGAGACACAGGGAAAAAATATCACAATGTATAAAAAATTAAAATAAAGCAATGATATATAGAATCCCAAAATGGAACAAACACACAGTTTACGATTTGGTGTACCAGATCACGTCAGGCTCACCAATGAAGATGGCACAGGTATTCAGTGTTTGACAACGCTTTTACCAGTAACACCTTCTAATATAACTCGTACCCACCAAGAGAAATCAAAAGACAGAATCGAGGAGATCAGAAGTTTTATTTGACGATTGCCAATATATCGGAATTGTCTGATCTAGTCTGGCTAGCAACTGCAGTAGATGTTGAGCACAACGTTCCCACACATGATCTGGTGCGGATGCATGACCGAGTGCCTTCAGCTAGGTGAGTCCACTAAACCATGTGGTCAGCATCCAATGTCGAAAACTTACAGAGCTATTTATTTTGGGGATTTATTTACTAATTCGAGATAACTCTCAACAACAGGTTCCAAGCCTTACGGAATCTACTCAACAAAGAGGAATCTACCATGAAGGACATTTAGAAATGAATCGACGAAGCACTAACTTCAACGTGTCAGAAGCTTCTGTGTCGCAAAAAGCATCATCATAAGTAATGGATCTCTACCGAAACACTGGACAAGATTCAAGAAAGGAAGAATGAGGAGACAGTAACAAAAACCAGCCGATTAAGAATAGAAAACGTCAAGGCACAAGCTGAATACACTGAAGCTGACAAACAAGTGAAGAGGACCATTAGAGCCGACAAGCAGAAATATGTAGAAGACCTGGCAACGACAGCGGAAAAAGCTGCAAAAGGAGGGAATATGGAACAACTATATGACACAAAAGAGAAGCTAGCAGGGAAATATAGCAAACCAAAGAGACCGATCAAAGATAAGGAAGGCAAGCCAATCACTGGGATCCAAGAACAGAGGAATAGTTGGACCGAACACTTAGACGAACTCTTGAATAGACCAGCTCGATCGAACCCATCGGACATCGAAGCAGCTCACAGCCCTTCCTATAGATGTTACTTCACTAATCATCGAAGAAATCAAGATAGTCATCAAACAAATCAGAAGTGGGAAAACAGCAGCACCTGACAGTTTATCAGCTGAATCACTAAAGTCACATATGGGAGCAACTGCAAACATGCACAACGTTCTATTCAGAAAGATTTGGTAGGAAGATTAAGTGCCGCCGACAGAATGAAAACAAGGTTATTTCATCAAGATACCACAGAAACGAGATCTGGGCAAATGTGAGAACTACAGATGCATCACACTAATGTCGATACCAGAAATAGTTTTCAACAGGGTGTTGATGAACCAGATGAAAGACTCAGTGGACGTCCAGCTTCGAGATCAACAGGTCGGATTCCGTAGGGATCGGTTGTGCACAGACCAAATCGCGACACCATTGATCATCGTTGAGCAATCGACTGAATGGAACTCATCAAGGCGTTTGACAGTGTGGATAGAAGGACCTTATGAGACCTTCCTCGACACTACGATGTACCTGAGAAGATCGTTAACATCATAAGGAATTTATACGACGGACTACAATGCAAGGTGGTGCATGGAGGACAGCTAACAGACGCATTCCAAGTGAGGATCGGAGTCAGACAAGGATGTTTACTCTCACAATTTCTCTTTCTTCTGGTGGTTGACTGGACTATGAAAACCTCCACATCTGAGGGGAAACACATAATACAACGGATAGCTTGCATGCAACAAAACGGGTTGGACATCTCAGACGACCTGGCCATCCTATTCCATACAAATCAACAACCAATGTAGCGGCAGTCTCTGCATTAGTAGGACACAACATACAAAATGGATAGGCCAAGGTCCTCAATATACAACACGGAGAGCACCAACACAATCAAACTTGATGGGGAAACTCGGGAAGATGTGGAATCTTTCGTATACCTGGGAAGCATCATCGACGAACAATGCGGACCTAATGCAGACGTAAAGGCAATGATTGGCAAAGTAAGGACAGCTTTCCCACAGTTAAAGAACATATGCAACTCAAAATAACTGTCAACCAACATCAAAGTCAGAATCTTCAATATGAACGTCAAGACAGTTCTATTGTACCGAGCTGAAACGTCGAGAACTACCACAAACATCATCAAAATATACAGGTACTTATAAACAGTTGTCTACGTAAAATACTCAATGTCCGTTGGTTGCATACCATCGGCAACAGCATACTGTGGGAGAGAACAATCCAGCTTCCAGCTGAGGCGGAAATTAGGAAAAGACGATTGAAGCGGATAAGACACACATTGAGGAAATCATCAAGCTGTATGACGACGCAAGTGACAACTTGGAATCCTGAAGGGAAATGGAAAAGAGGAATGGGAAAGAACACAGTGAGTTGGGTATTGGAATTAGCCATGAAAAGGATGAATAGCAACTGGAAAGAAGTGGAAAGTATTAACTAGGACAGAGTTGGATGGAGTATGTTGGTTGGTGGCCTATACTCCTCTATGACGTGAAACAGGCGTAAGTAGGTAGGTATGCAAATAAGTGAGTAAATAAGTAAGTAATGAAAATGGATTCAGTTCAGAAAGATTACTTTTCATCTTATGTCATCTTAGTAAACCAAATTATTCAATAATTCCAATTTCTTTACATATTTTCCTCACGATTATTTAGCCCAAATTATTTGTTTCGACCCGTCTTTCTCCAGCAAGTGGTTTATTAAGCTTCAATCATATTTTGAACTGTACTACAAATCTGGTCCTCAAATAGTTTGATTAATTTAAGATATCTATTTTCTTATTTCATGTCAGTAACAGACATTCACACCTTCTTGGTATATTAGAGGCAGTGAACATTATTCATGAGGTAACGTGGGTGGTTATTTAGAGATCGGGTTGATCATCCACTTTGGTTAAACCGGTGAACATTGAGGTAGTTAACTGACTCATTTTATCCTATTTTACAAGACTCAACATCCAAATATGATTAGTTTAACACAGTATAGTTCTGATTGACAAGAAGCTACATATTTCTTTGATGATTTTGATTATTACCCTGAAGAAGTTCAGACAAATTAGCTGGACGAAGCGTTGGAAGTATTTAAATTTCAATCGCTGAGATTATTTCAAATATAATTTTCACATATAATGCGGTTAGTAATGTTTATCAAAAAACTTCAAAATAATCAGGCTACACCTTTACTCCCTTTGGTTACTACAACAGATGGTTACAATTCATTGGTCTACAAAAGAGCGCATACAGACAAAATTGGTTGAGTGTCATCCCCCCACAAGATTTTCAAGTAGTTTAATTGGATTAGCAATGGAGTTTTAGATTCATGACATTGTCAACCAGTTATGTATAACGGTGATCATTTGGATATTTCAGGTACACCTACGTTGTATTTTATTGGCCAAAAATCAAGACAAAGTCAGCTCATCGACGTGGATTTTATATTTAAGTAGTGAGTCTTTCTATTGTTCTATTGTTTCATTTCACTGTATTGCGTCAGAATGGTCAAGTGAGTGGACTCTTACTAATATTATATAACGTTTTCATAGTTCATTATAATACTTACCATTTACTGTACATGATTTTATTTATGCTTTAGCCGAGCAGAGGCTGCACAACTTTTGAAGCACCTTGATAAAGATAAAAGTGGGAAAATTAGCTCAGTCGAGCTAATGGAATTTTTGAAGAGCGTTAACTGTCCATTCAATAAAGAACAAGTTGAAAAGTTTATTCGTCAGCACGACAAAGACGGAGATGGACAATTAAATACTGATGAACTCCTTGATGTTTTATGTTCATAATTTCTTAAATTTTTAGTAGTGTTTCTTTCATAAATAAATAGTATTTTAATTTCACAACAAAGAGTTTATAAGACTTCATTTTAAATCGGGTATTTTCTGTCGATTTGTTTTCTTTAAAAAAACGTCTGTTATTTGGCGGGTAGTATATACCAGGTGGTTTATTCGGAATACATTTTCGTCACATGTACTGTAAAATGCTGTTTTTTTATGAAACCTTCACAATTCTTCACGTTAGAGGGTATATATATTTCGGTCTGTTACTCTTGAATTATGTCCTACACCTCTCGATTACAATGTACACGTTGTAAGCTCTCATAACAACAAGGACAACTTACCTTTTATGTACGTAGTACGCGATGAAATTTCGAAAAGCTGAACCTGAATGCCAAGATACATTGTACGTCTGTGGGAGGTTATTTCTTATAATTTGTATGAATTCTAAAGAGTTTGAGTACACGTTATTAACAAATCGGTTTACTTAAGCCTCATCAATTTCTTGGATATTCCGAAGCTGTGAATCGAACTAATAAGTTGTTGATTATTGCTTCGTGTCGAACGTTTTGTCATATGCGCATAATTTTCGACCATTTATAAATAGTCATCTTAGTCACTTGTTACTTGCCAATATCTCATTCTACAATGCTCCAATCATGTAGTAATTACATGTGTTCTGTTCTTTAATATAAGTAATCCACTGATTATTTATTCAGGTCTAATTATCCTTCCCTCTGTTTTGTTGTTGCTATCCTGGCTACTGACAGATACTCTAATTTTGTATTTCTCATATATTTAAGAAGACTATAAACTTTTCTGGTTAGAAGTGATCGAAAACTGGATATTTTTAATTTCGGAGTTATTTAGATATAGGAAATTCGGTTCTATGTCCAGTCTGAGAATCATTGGTTTTGTGAAGATTTATGATAAACGATTTACTATTTTTCACTCACTTAGTGAACAGTTCATCGTAATATTTGATAGAACACAACTTCGATTTTCACATGGTAATTTTAAATCATTAACTAGAGTCGAATTACTTGCGAACAGAATCTAATAAATGCGCAAACGCTACGGCGTTTAGAATACATATCCACCGTCAAACATTGAGTTTACATTGTACAGATGAATAAAATTTGTGTAAGAATAACAAAGAAAAAATTTCGTAATTTTGAAATACTTGCTTCTTATCAGTGATATGCACTTTAATCACGTTATCAATAATAGAGAAAATACTTATTTCTAAGTAGTTTTCAATCATGCACGCGTCCATTGTGTGATTTTTATATGCAAATATATCGATTTAGAAATGTCAATAACCATGCAAGTACAACATGGTAGGTCGCGTCACAATTGTCAATCAGATAAGTAAAATTTGAGGTAAGAAATATGCATGACCTTTCTTTAGAGTGTTATTCATATAATCAAAAGAATATATATATATATATAGTAGTGTAGCATTCACTGAGAAACGATAAAATCATTCAAAGTAGAGATGTTCACATTATTGAAGAGAACTCATTCCAATCATTAAACATTAATGATTATTGTTATTGTGTATTATATACACTGTATAAACGAAAACTTCATTTTTAAAGTCACTTTGAAACTATGACCATATCAAATAGCATTATAGTAAAATATATTAAACGGTGTGCATAGACAGAGTTTAAAAAGGCTCTCCATGACAATCGTATTACAATTCAAGAATGAAACTAATCTTCTATATACCTAGAAAGCGACTGATAGAAAGTCCACAGCCTTGTGAATACGCTTGGTAATTCAGTGTCTATTATTCTTTAGTTCTAGGATTAGGAAACTCTTTACCTTGGTAAATGATTCGCATTATTTAATGAGACTGCTTAAATTAAAACTTAACTGTGCTGATGCGCTATTTCTATTATTTTAAAAAATCAATCACTTTTACAGCATTGCGACTCTTGCTGGAATCCATTTTTCAAGGCGAAATGAGTTTATTCTACATCTAAATTCTTTTAACGTGTACTAGTTTATGCAATACAAACTCTTTCATAGTATGTTCAATTTTTAACCTGCTAGTTCTATGGATTATTATGATCATTAAAAACATCTGTAGTTGTTTAGGTTCATTTGCGAGTTCATTGTAAAGTCCCGTCAAAAATGTTTATACTTTTTGGTAATAAAAACTTCTAATTTCACTACAGAGATTCACTAAAACGTACGTAAAGCAAAATAGCATAAATTCCATCACTAAAGTTTTGTTTTGTAAAATATATGCGTATATTCCCCATTTTGTTACCATTAGTAAATAAGTAAACACAACTGACACTTGTTAAATGTTCACGAAAAGATGGTTTTTAGGTTGTACCATAACTTTACATTCATTTACTATTAGTTCATATGAAATTATATTTTCTTTGGAATAAGCAAATAAAGAGCTTTTAGTGCCAGTGAAATGTCACTGGGCTCTATCCAAATCATTTGGCAGTCGGGTCACTGAATGTCGAACAGTTCGCCGATCCTTGTCAAGTTTAAGGACAACCAATGCGCATCAATTAATTGCACTATACGGACTGGTCCATGTTATGGTTGTCGCAACTTCTCCTTTGTACTTACGTTTACTGATACATTTGTGTAATAACGTCCTTTATGTTATACGGTCTTCAAAGAAGCTATAGTATCTTGATACGACGAAAGGGTAATCCATGTTAAGTGCTGACTATGAAAGGTGACTTCGAAGTTAGCTGTTGGCCATACCATTCACACCTAACTCGAGTAGGCATCCAATCATTTCGATCATCTACGTTGGTGATCTTCTTAATCATTTTTTATAAGCTTTTACCATTTGGATGCCATTTAGTAACACGATAATTATCAACATTTCAGCTTTACACATAAATATTTAATGTCAATATTTCATAAAATAATCAGACAAAATGATTCCGGTTTAAGTTATTAATGAAAAATTTGATGATTCACCTCAAAGAGCAATTAAAATGTTGAATGTCATACACTATCTCTAGGTTTTTATTCATGAAAATCAAGTCCCTTTTGATTATTACCCTGAAGAAGTTCAAACTAGTTAGCTGGACGAAACGTTGGAATTATTTAAATTTCAGTCGCTGAGATTATTTCAAATATAATTTTCACATATAATGACTTCTCTATACTCGGTGCCCCATTTCTGTCCAACTATTCGTTCTAATCTTGACGAATATTCGTATAAGTCTCTTCATAGTTTGTTTAAAGTATTTTTGTGAATTGAAAATCATTCTATCACTCTGGAACATTAATAACTGTTGATTATATTTGTTGGTTATTTCGCGTTGTTATTTCAGCAACACTAACTCCTTGTTTTTGAACACAAGACTTAAAACTCTTTGAGTTTATCCTGAACAAAACAAAGGGGTCAATATTTATGAAAACCATTTATCATCAAATTTGTTAACATGATCCGTTCGTAGGAAGATTTAGTGAAAGCAGAATTAGAAAAACAACAACTATAGTTGACAGTCAACTTTATTCATTATGAAACTTCTCCATTATATATAATTGTTAAATGTACTGTCATTCCAATACAAATAATAGAGTTCATCAATCAAATCAATATTCAACAACCGTAAAATTATTGATAAACATATATCATGTTTATTAACCTATTACTATAGTGATCACATGAATGTAACCTGAATTTTCGTTCTAAGTTATTTTTTATCGACAATTAATGACCTCCCTTATTTTCAGTAGTCACTATTATTGGACAGAACTTTTCGTTGGCTTTATCTAAATCTTATTGATAATCTAAATTAACACTGTAACTAACTAGAATGATTAGTTTTATTACTACGATAAATTAAAAATTTTGGAAACTATTTACTGCTTATTTTTCTCAGAGTATGTAATAAATATTTTACAAAATAACTATTCTATATTTCAGATAAGTGAATTTAACTTTCTAGTAGGTAGGACACGTTTACCTTTTTAGAGTAAGAGAAAGTGAAGCTCGCTAATGAAAAGATATTTCTGTCAATAGAGATGGATGGTGGTTAGCATTGGAATCGAGGATGTGCGTTTCGCCTTAGTCGGGACTCGTCAGCTGGATCTTACTGCTTCCCAGAGTTGATATTTAGTCCGGGACTCGAAACCAGCACCGTTCTCTTCAACCATCATAACGTTACTTAGTCAATGGTTCGTACAACAGAGTAAAGTTTAATTCATTTGTATTGGTTGTTTGAACCTTCTCACTGATGGTTAGGATGGCCAAAAAGAGACTGATCAATAGCAGTCCAAAATATCAATGGTAAAATTCAAAAGAAGAATACAAATAAATTAAATATATCTATGGCTGTAAAGTGATCATAATAACTCTAGTAGGAAAACTCGGTTAAGAAATTCGCTCACTAACCTGGATTATGTATAGCCATTACTTAGTTACCTTACTGTTACTAGGTAATAATAGTTCAGATTTTCTCAGATAATTTAGTTATTTAGCTCAAATGAGATATTTAGTTGAATAATTGGATCTGGCCACTAAGACAGTATGGTTTAGATGCTGGTTTATGTGACTACTTGAAATACAGAAAATGTAAGTGAGCTAGAAAAATCAAATACTACTATGGAGAATGTGAAACAAATTTTCAAAAGACATGAAAGACTGTGAGTGAAATGTAATTCATGAGTGGTTGCGGTATCGTTATACATGTATCCCGAAGTAAACTATTCTTAATTATTCCAAAGGAGATACAGCACCATGCAAACCATCTTCTTCACATTACTGCTTCATCAAAACTACGTGAAGTTGTAAACAGTACTATGTGAACATAATTAGTCACTGATATAATGGGATAAGAACGGAAAAATTACTTTCTATTGTTCATTGTGATTTTTGGTCAACATTACTTCCGTGTTTTTTTAATTCAATTCGTTAATTATTCAGAGTAATATTTGTCTTTATTTGACAGTGTGATATTTTATTCAGTTTAACATTAATTTATTTGAGTATCATGTTTAGTCAATATATGATATTCTTGTATTAGATTAATGTAAACTATGCACAGCATGACATGCAGCATGTGATTCGTTATAACT